CAATAATGAGCCACGAGCAATTTTATTTTCCTTCTTGCCCCTTCCTTTTATCAACATAACCGTAGGTTATAATTTAATATAACAACGTATTTACAGTATATTTTTTTAATATTTATCTGATGAAAATCTGAAAATCAAAATCTAAATTTATATTTCATGGTAACTCACGAATTTAAAACAAAAATAAAAAACAAAAATAGAATTCTAATGATTAATTAAATATATATTATATATTTATCACGCATATAATATTTAATTATTTTTCATTTATTCATGAAGTTTTTTAATTCCGTAAAACAAAATATTGAATTAATACATATTTTTTATTATACATGCAAATATATATATTTTTAATTATAAATATAATAGTTAAATATAATCATTAAGAAATAACAGTAAATAATTACATAATGAATATAATTAAAGAAAATTACATGTTATGATCTAACGGCTCCTTGCAGATCTAAATTCAGTGAACTGCAATTCCTTCGTTATATATTGTATGTCATTTAATATATATACCATTCGTATAATATATTGATATAATGATTAATTTTTCTCTTAATATATTTTTCATGTTTTTAAGAAATGAATCAGATAGAAAAAATAAAATTTTTTAAATTAAAATATTAATATTTGATATTTTATTTTTTATGTCAATTGAAACAAATACTATTAGTGCAATTGAAAGCTAATGAAAATAGTTTAATGTTTGATACTTATTTTTATATTTAAACTTTCATGCAAGTTTTTTTTTTAGTGAATAATAGAATAAAATAGTCAGCTAACAGAAAAAAAAATAATTATTCCAGATCTTAGTTACATTTTTATTTTAATTTTATTTAATTTGATGTCATTTTATAATTTATATCAAAAAAAAATAAAAATAAAAGTTTCTAAATCATCATCGCATTTAATTTTGTATATTTTCAATTGATTATTGCACTTACTGTTTCCATTTTTTTTATGAATCGTATAATAATCGTTCGTCTTGTCCAACTTTTATACAAATTACGATCAAATTGATCGAAATACAAAATGAACAACGATTAAGATTATAATATTAACCATGCGTTGAAATCTCCAAAGTTATTATGTATTCGTGTTTAAATAATGAATTATTCAAAAAACAATAGCCTTAGAGAGGATTCTCAAATAATCCTTTTTTTTTCTTTAAGATTATACAAATTATATATTATTTAATTATATAATTGCAGAAATATAAATTTTTTTTTTAAAAATATTCTAGAAATTGTAGAATATATTATGATAATTTAATAATTAGAAATATATCAAAAGAAAATATTAATTTTATCATTTATATTTGCATTTATTTAATTTTATATGGGATTCTTGTACAACCAACCATGAAAACTTGGTGGGGAATAAATTGATCGAGGATATTCATACAGTCTATCCCTGCTAGTACAATTGCGAACATACAACCGCGAGTATTTATTATATATATTTGTAATATGGTATTTTATAAATATAAAGGAAAAAAAAAATCATCGAATATAATCGGAAATTTAATGAACAAAAAATAACGAGTTAAAATTAGTGATTAGTTACTATAATAATAAGATAAAACGTTTTTGTCAAATAGAAAATTAATACATATTAGAATAATAATAATAAAGAAATTATAAATTATAAAACTATTCAGTTTTTTACATTTTATTGAGAATTGAAAATATTTCGTAATAAAGATATAGCAAAATTATTAGAAGGAAAATGCATTTATCATTAATGGACAAATATGTTTATATAGAATAAGAATATATAAAATGATATATCAAATAAATACAAAGAAAATAATGAAGTTAATTTATCTTATTTTAATATTTTTCAATTCTATTAGAAATATAAAAACAAATGATGAATCGAGTGGAGAATATCTTCAAAATGTGATGCTTCAACTTCAAGAATTTAATATTCCTTCTTCTATCAATAATTACGATCGATTATCATCAAATAATGATTATAAAAATGTAATTTATATGAATGAAGATCGACAAAATCATAAAATTCAAAAAATTAATATGAACATACAGCAAAATATGCAAAAACATCAAAATCATAGTTTTCAACAATATGATATTTTTTTTAATAAAAAGATTGATTTAGATGTTCCGCATTATTATGAGGTAAATGAATAATTTTTTTAATCATATTTTATTAATCATATATATTTATATTATTTACCAATAAAATCACTAAAAAATTATCTATTTCTGATTTTTCAGTCTCATGTTCCTATCATTACTAAAATACGAGAACCAGAAATACTTGGATTTACAAAAACAGAATTGGCAACTATGTATAAGAACGCATTAGAAAAAGGATCAACAATCAATTTATCTTCATTAACTAATGCACTCTCTTCTGGTGAAGTACCTCAAATTAGTCAAACTCATATAGAGTTTCCGGTCAAGCAGCCTCTCTATGAATATTATTTTTTTCCATTAAAAACTTTCATATCAGAATTCAAAAAAAATCACGGTTATAAAACAATTGTAAGTAAACTTCTATAATTTCTTAATATTTTCTTATTTTATTTACAAATAATTAATTCATTTAATTAAAAAAAAAAAGAATAAAAAGTATTATATTATTATTTTAATCTCTTCATTATGACATTTCTATCATTCTTTCTAGTCTATTCCTGCATTTGACAATACGAAAGTTGCACAAACCCAAACGCAATTATCAAATCCTCTCATTGTAGCCATAAGCACTTTTGTTACTATAGCAATTGTATTTATGATGAGCATTCTATTCTTACCGAAATTTATTCAATTTGATGTACTTCCCGAGCGAAATATTCAAGAAGATTTCTTTTATCTGACAAATATAATTACGAATGCTACTGAACGTAACAATTTTTTAGATAAATTTATAAATCATTATATAAATTCTGTTAAATAATTCATAATAAAAATAATGCAATAATAAGATAAATATATAATAATTAAATAAATTTATAATAAATTTATTATATATAAGAAAACAAATGTAAACTTAATTTGTAAAAAAATGCTATATTATTTTAGATTATATTTTATATTTTAAATTATATTAGCTATTAAATTATAATATATAAAATAAAATAAAACTAAACAATGTGACAAAATATATTCATAACATCTATTTAATTATATCATTTGTTATCAGTTAGATAAATTTAACAAAAACAACATTGAGCTAAACAAAACAATTCTTAATCAATAACATTATATAATATTTCTAATTTTGTTCTTAAAAAATGTTTTACAATTATTTATTTTTGTACATAAATATTAATAAAATTATGTGTAGTATATATATAACTAGAGATATACTCGAAATAATACAACATTAAACATCTACAATATTATAAAAATCTATAAATATTGTGCATCTTTGCAATTCTAATTACAATAGAGAAAATAGGAATAAGTTATTTTGTGTGATCTATTTGAGGAATGTATGTGTATGTAATTACATTCAAAAATTACTTAAATTTGTAAAAAAGATGTTTTCAAAGGTACTTTTCAAACTTTCCTGTATGTATGTCTATGTATTATAAAAGTATAGTTGAATATATTTTATGATCTGTACAATATGAAATATACATAAAAAGGAAGGCACACTTTGGAATAATACCTGTAAGCTCATTATTCATTTTACATGTTGTCTATTTCTTTTTCTTCTTCTTTTTTATTTTTTTATTTTTTTTTTTTTTTTTTTTTT